GATCAGAACGCCAGTCGGGAGCCAAAATCAGTCGGGAGACGCAAAGAAAACATCTGTTTCATTTGTTCTTTGCTCTTCTTTCAATGAAGAAATACTCTCCAGTTCTGATATAACCAATGCAGCATCTATGCTAACTCTTTAGACGCTGCTGTTGAAGGAACAGTCGCCTCTCCATATCGTCACACACACCTAAACAACACCCGTAGCTGCCAGTAGCTCCAGGATACTGATTGGTCTGAGCCACTGTGGTTTGGACACAAACGCATTACTTAAAGCCTGGCAAGGTGGATTTTCGTGAGATCTCTTGATCCTGCGATTCCATGGTTCTCGCGTGATTGTGTGATATCGTGAGAATCCAGCTGCCGTGCATGGTAACATCATTCCCCTTGTTGTTTCTTTTACCACTGATCTGGTACATTGGATTGGGAAGAGGAGGTTAAAAACAAGCTTAAACCCTGTTAAAGCCTTCTTTGCCCCACAGCACCCATTCAGCACTGGGGTGTGTAACACCTTCCATATGTCATCATCCTTTAATATTTAGCAAACCCACACTCATCCCACCCCAAGGGGGATCCCTGCTTCATTTTCCACAGATAAGGGACATTGCAGAGAGACAGGGATGGTGAGAGACCGACAGAAAGCAAGAGACGAGAGAGATTCAGTGTTTGTGTGTGCCAGAGTTAATGTCATTATCTGTTACTAAGCGAGTGAGTAACTACGAGGTCCTCAGAGGGGTAGAAATATGAAACTGTGATGAGGAATGTGGGTCACGAGATCACACAGCAACATCAACTTGTGTATGTGCCAAATCAGACAAAACAAGTAATTTTTGCACTTTGAATTAGGTGCATTTGACAGTGTGTCAGTTTTTCTGTGTGTGTGTGTGTGTGTTGAAGTCCAAAGTCATTTTGTGTGTGCACGAGGAGTAAGGCATCCCTGCAGCATGTTCTGCACTCGCGTGAGCTTTCGCTACAGCTTTCACGCTACCTACTGAAATCCAGGTCACATAACACACACCGTCCATGAATCATAACGTAATATGTGTGTACATGTTGGTGTGTGTGTATTGTTTAAGTGTATGGATGCAGGTGGGTGTTACTCTTGCGTTGTCTTCTGTCTGTATCTACATATTTTCCCATGTCCAGTTCATTGCTGTGTGGGTTTAAATGTGTCCTATAGAGACATACATTGGGACATCACAATTAGAGCATATGGACGAGACTGATGCTAACTCTCTTTATCTCTCTGCTATAGATCTTTGTCAGGCACAGCATTTCCTTAACATATCTGGTTATAAATACAAGTTTGGAAATATGAAATTTAATTAATCATTAGTTGGTGATTAAATATGTCTAAAATTTGTTCTTTTTTAAATAAAACAAATATCCATTATTATATCCTGGAGCCTAAGGTGACGTACTCAAGTTGCATATTTCGTCTGACCAACAGTCTACAACTCAAAAGATATTCAGTTAACTGTTATATGAGACGAGGTAAAGCAGCAAATCTTCACAAATGACAACGTGGAACCAGTATATGTTTTAAAAGTAATCAATTAATAAAAAACTATTGCCAATTAATTTCCTGTCAATCAACAAATCAATCAACTATTTTTTTCAGCTCTACTTTCATATACAAGCACAAGCCATTTGCAGCTCTGTTATCAGCAGAATGTTCATTCATTATATCTTAATAACATGTATGTGCTCTATATTTATCTGCATCCACTTCTTTGCTGACCCAGTTTTACTCCAGGTTCATTCAAGTTTCCTCTTATCTAATGCAATCTAATCATATTCTCTACGCAGTAAGCTGCACAGACTTAAAAAGGAAAGGTGAAACCTTGGTCCATGGATGAGATGTTTGTGCATGATCCAAGGTTTTTACAGATCCAATGAGATTGCTTTTACCTCTTGTTTTATCGGCTGATTTTAATCAAGGTAGTGACTTAAAGAATGATGCAAATACAGGCAAATTAAATGAGCTTCCTGCACAGGAGGAAGATTGAAAGGATAGAGATTGAAAGCAGTTCAGAGTAGAAATGCAGCTCCTTTACATTGAAAGAAGAAAGGTGAAGTGGTTAAAGCATCTGTTAAGCATACCTCCTGGAGGCCTCCCTTTAGAGCAGATCTTCCACCAATTATCTATAAATCAGCCAATATATTGGCTTATATATTGTCATATACTGTACATATGTATATATAAATATATGTATATATGTCAGCGAAGTACAAGTAACAAGAAAATGCTGTATATAAATGCCAAATGTTGATTTGAAGTTAGAAACAGTGTTACTTTTACAACGTTTGTCCATTATAAAGCACTGACAAGGTCATTTTTCAAATCTAAAATGTTTGAAACAGTATAAATATTGGTCACATTACTTTAATAACCAGTTTTAATTAATATTGGCAGAGTCAGATTTCTTTTAATAGTCAAATATCAATATCAGTATTGGCCTCAAAAATCCAGCGTTTGGAACAATTTGGGAGACGCTAAAAGGAGCTAGAAGATATGGCTGGGGGAGGATGTCTGGGCTACTTGCTGCCTCAGGTTACAGAAAATGGATGAATCAATGTATGTATGGATCTTATACAGAAAGGTTAAAACATTTTGAACTAGAGGAGGAGAATTCAGACTTGGACTTGAGTGCACGATGCATTGAATTAGTCGTTCAATGCACTGTTTCCACTAGAAAAGAAGTACGGCTGTGATTTCGGTCCCTGGCTGTGCTGTTGTAGCGTACTAAGCACTCACTTGACTTGCAAGTCAAGTATATACAACTTTTTTTTACTTGGCACTTTGCAATGTAGAAAAGATGGTCACATCTTTTTCTATTCTAGAGTAGAGGGGCTAAAAGGTGGGGGATTGTGTACCTTGCAATCAATAAGATCACTGTCATAAGATCCGTTACATGCAACATTACACAGTCAATTTAAAGGAATGGGTTTGCAGGATATTATCTGTTACATGAAAACTCACTCATAGTAAAAAAAATGACTATGAATGATGTAAAGGCTTTGCACATACACCCCTGGTGTTGTGAGTTGTGCTGATTTGACATGAAGGCTTGCCGTTTTGCAGCCACAGCATTTGTAACCCAGAATTGTTAATGTGGTGAACTGGGTCAGGGCCTGTAGATTACAGAACCAGAGTGACATGGCAGCTGGGAGCAGAACATAAAAAAGGAAAAAATAAAACAATCTCCAAAAAATAGCCAAATGCTGTTAAATTTTGCATGTTTCTTTTTTTCTACCAGCCACCATTGCAGCCTCTATTAAAATGTCTCGAGGGTTCAGGAGGCTCTTTGGATATTTGGAATTAAAACTGTATATATGATCATGGGAACCAGGGGCAGAGCAACAGGGAGTGATGGGGAGCCTGGGTCTGTTTGCACGGGTCAGATCCTGTTTTAACAGGCTAAAGTACCCATCCTGCTGATTCTCTATCAAATATTCACCACCTCCTGCAGAGCTAACAGTTAAACACCAACCGCTAGCAAAGAGGGAGGGCAGAGGGAGGCAGGGAGGACTGGATGGGGGTTGGGGAGGTTAAGGACAATCATAATCCAGAGCAAAGAGAATGCCTGCTCCAATAACCAATCCTATTTTGGGAAAGGCCTGTCTCATCCCGCTGTGTCCCCGATCAAGAACGGCGCAGCAGCTACATCAAAAGATGATGCTTTTAGAGCAACATTTGGCCATTCTTTGTCTTCGTTCCATTGTACATCTGTGAACGAGAGCCGCGATGTGGATGTTCTTTGGGGGTAAAAAGGAAGGATTGAGACTCTTGAATTCGGGCCACAGAACCAAGTCTATTATTAGCTCCGTCTAAACGCTGCCAACTGGAGCGCATGTTATTGTGTGTGTGCCAAACACATCAGCCATCAAAAAAAACATTAAATCCAATGTGTGCATGTTGCTCTGATACAGATTAGTTGCGCACACGCACGTACACACACACACTCATAATGAGATTTAAACATTCAATTACATTATTTTGGCCGGAGGGTTGGTGTTAAAGGGCCGGGGCTGGAGCAGACGACCTGGCTTTGCCATTCAGACCAACGACAAGCTCTCCTGACGTCTGACATCCTGAAATGTGCATTTGTGCTCCCATAATGCTCTCCATCTATTCTAGCTCTCCTCCTGAGGCTGAATGTGTGTCAGAGATGAATTTTGCATATATATGAGGAGGAAGAAGAGGAGGAGGAAGGAAGGAAGGAACTGGGGTAGGAAAGTGGAGCATCATGTCCAGGAGTTTCTATCGATCCACGAAGGAGTGGATGAACCTGCACAGCTGCTTCACCTCCACTATGACCTTTATCTGAAAACTAATGCACCGTCAAGATGACATATAACAAGCAACTACAGCAGCTTTCATTCAGAAGTAATCTAATGCTGACAGTGTTTAAGATCATTAAATGTGTTTTCAGTCTGTAGAGTGTTTGCAATTTGCTTCTGTTTATACTGTTTACTAAAACAACAGTCCCCTTCACATAAATAATTAAACATTTTTTCCAAATCATCACAGTTTTCGTGGGAAAAACCTGTGTACTCGTGGCAACGTGGTAGCCTCTCTAAGGCCCCGACCATGAACAGCAACACCCGCGGTTTGAAATAAGCTGCAACCGCACCAGCATGGAGGGTTACAAACTTTTACAAATAGAGTCTTGTTTCAACAAAAGTTGACTATAAAAGAGGGGTTATGAATACAGAGTGCAACTTGTTCCTGTTTGTTGCTCCAGCGCTGTCAGCTGGTACAACCTCCTCTACCGTTGAGTGTGATTGCCTCTTCGGCTTCCAGCGCTGTCAGCAGCCGTGCAGGAGAGGCGCTCGGTGGTTCGCTAGGATTGTAAAACTCAACTATGACTAAAACATACACTTTTTATGTCTTTGACTTTGTGGAAACGGGATATTTTCTCATCACAGATGACGAAGAGGCTTTAAAATGTCTTGCAGGTAAAACATGAGACTCATATAGGAGGTGAGGTTTCTTACCTCTCCATAGTCGGTCGTGACGACAAGCGTTCCATCTCCACAGGAGTTGACCGTGGCGGGGACCAGCTGCTCCTTCTCTCTGACCCAAACACGGGCCCCCTGGATCACAGACACACACAAAGACTGAATTAAAGCAAACAGTGCGAAAAAAGTGTATTTGGTTACGCAAAGTGCTGAACCCCCTGCTGACTAGAGTGGCCTTCACGCCATGAAGCTAGGCTTGAACTTTATTCTTTAAACAACTATTAGTGCCACACTTTGTTACCTTAGAGCAGAGGCTGTCTGAGAATGTGCACACGTTTCCTCCTAGCCATTTGGAACAACTATAAACCTTTTTGATTTCCAACATGGTCCTACAACAACACACGGTACAAACTAGTTCTGTTCAAGCATAACCCGACCCTTGACTCTGACATGTATGTATGAATGTATGATGAGTGTGCATGGGTGAACAGACAGATGTCACAGATGTGTTTAATGAGAAACAAAGACTGTAACATCTGGACTTTCCACTAAGGTGAAGCAACAATGCTTGGCATCTGTGTGTGTGTGTGTGTGTGTGTGTGTGTGTATTTGTGTTGGGGGGGGGGGACTCAGGGTCAGAGGAAGTGTGCTCCTCCGAGACCTTTCCACACAGACAAAGCCCTCTTTCACAAAGTCACTGACCTCTGATCCCTAAAAAGGGGCACAGCATAATAGAGGATGGAAAGAGGAGGATACAGAAAAGGAAATAAGAAGAGGAGGCAGTCAACAGAGCTTCTGAAGTACTGTAAAGACAGGAAATGTACCATATGTCCTCCTATAAACTTGTACAGTTTACTGTATTGCTTTGAAATGTACAATAGCATGAGCTCTAGAGGATGTCAACAAATGTTGTAAATGACATGTAAATGAATTTCCTTTTTATAAAAATCACTCCTAAATACAATATCTAATGGGTTACCGATGCTCAGTAACTGACAATATTTTTGAGCTATTGAGCATTTAAATCACAGCATACTGTTAAAATTATTTTGCAGGGAAAGAGGGAAGTATTAACATAAAAGTGTCAACAAAATAAACAAAGTTTCCAGACTTGATTACTCAAGTCTTAAGCCTGAGAAGATGTTTGAGTCCTGAGAAGACTCTGTGGGACACCAGGTGTGTGCACGTGAATGAGCGGAGCAGCAGAGGAGAGCTGGAAATGAATTATTTTAGAAACAGATGGTGCCTCCCCCCCCAAAGCATTCCCTGGCAACTTTTATCTCTTTGTGATCCTCCCCGTCTCTCTCTTTCTTAGTCTTTCTGTCTTTTTCCTGCTCTCTTTAGCAATCTGACACACTCGCACTGATGATAATAGAAAACCAGTCCTTGCTCCAGGCTGTGGAGTTAATCAGGCAGAAATCATTCCCACACACATACAGTACACTATATATACAGACTGTTGGGTAGCTGAAGATAAGGCTTAGGGGGAAGAAAAGTCTGAATGCTTTTGGATACAAAGATTTAACTACGGGGCAACCTCATTTTTAGCGGCGAGTCTCTATGGATGGCAACATCCGTCTGATTCACCCCTTTGAGTCCAGACTGAACTATCTCAACAACTATTGAATGGATTGCTTTGAGATTTTGTACAGACATTCATGGTTCCCAGAGGATTAATCCTCATGACTTTGGTGATACAGCGGAGGCCTAAGGTTGACTTTGTATTTCACAGTACAATGTCTTGTCAACTATTGGATGGATTTCCATGAAATGTGGTAGACCTTTGTGTTCCCCTCAGGATGAATTGTTGTAACTTTGGCGACTTATCCTCCAGCGCCATCATCAGATCAAAATTTGGTTTCTTCCAACACTTTTAACGTTTAAATGTACTTTGTCTTTAGTGCTACTGAGCTAAAGTAGCTCGGTAAATATTTTTATACCAATTCATCTTGTTATAAGCTCCACCATAGATTGCCTCATCGAGGACAGTTTGAGTCTAAGATCTGAAGATATTCACTTCACGTTACATTTCCTGCTTATTTACTCTAATCTTTGCACAAACAAGCCTCATACATGCGATTTCACTCTGACAACTGAAAAATTCAAGAGCCTCTGCTGTTGGTTCCTCAGTAACTCCTCTATATATAGCCCCCCCCCCCCCCCTCATCCCTCCTATAGATCCTCTCTCTCTGCAGTCAGTCAGCCTGTCTCAAACTCCAGCTCGTCTGCCTGCCAGATTCCAGCACACAGAGCCATTATAATGATGGTGGTGCCGTGACCTGACCCAATGACCACCTCAGCCTAAGGCTCATGCTCACAGTTCACAAGTACTTTACTACATCATGTTTTAACTGATAAAATGACCTCTGACCCCACGAAAACCTATAATACTGGACTAGTGGTACATTTACACTTTCTCCCCCCTATTTTTCCTAATGCTCTCCGTAAATAAGAATATAATGCATGTTTTTGCTTTCTGCCTGGCTCCCTATCTGCCTCCTCTTTAGGTAAATTGGTCTCTAGTCCTGATCGATGTACTTTGCCTGAGCTACGTGCTATCTCTGGGGAATATGCAGCTAAGGAGACACAGAGGGTTATAAATGACCTGCCAGCATTACAACCTACACCCAGCAACACCTTCCTACTCCTCCTCCCCTCCCCCTGTCTATTACTGGCCCAGACAGACAGGAATGGTCATGCATGACAACAAACTCCAGTGCTTTCTGTGTGCTCGGAACTGCATGTATGGTAAAAACACTCCCTCTCCGTTTCTCACTATGAAATTCAAACCTAACTGCATTCAAACTAGGGCCTCCAGCTTTGTCCATCACCTTTTGGTCAAGCTCCATTAAACTTCAATGGTCACTTTATCCTCAAACATGACCCCTGACCTCATATCTTACACCATGCTCTCTGACCAACAGGAGTTGAAAGAGTACCAAAACATCCCACCCAAAGAATGCTATTCAATGAATTTCTTTGTGCATGTTAGGAAAGATTATTTGGTGCTTCTGTAGTTTCATGTCTTCTTCAATACAGCATGATGTTCATGTAGTAAATTGGGGTCTCATTTAGAGTAAAATAGACAATAAAGCAGGGTATGCTTTAGGATGCGGCCACCTTGTGGTTGACAGGTCACTGTCACAGTCTGGGAGTTGTCCGTGTTTTAGTCTTACAACTTGAACTCTCTCAGTGTGTTTTCAGTTCATGAAAGTTAATTGTAACCATTTTTGTTGCCTAAGTATGTCTTATTCATTCATTCATTTGGTTGTACATAACTCCACCCTCTTGTGTCACTTCTGGTTGCAAAAACCTAGATGGAGACGGCCAAAACCCAACATGCCGACAGCCAACGTGCCAGTCCAAAAACCAATGGGTGTCGTCGCAGTGACGACAACTTCTTATATACAGTCTATGTATAAAACATGCAAAATGCATTCATCAAGGCCTCTATACAGAGGAAGGTTGGCAGGTTTGATTATATTATCATATATTGAATATACCAAGAAGAAAAATGGGAGAACTATTAAGAAAATCCTGACCCTCTACTAATCTTTCATTACTGAGCATACAAAGGAGAGCATTCGACCTAGACGCCTGATCAGCAGTATGTTTGTGTGTGTGTGTCTGATAAAGGCCTTGTTTCTGCTCGGGCGATCACATGGACGCTCGTGCCATTTGATTGAGGCATCGCCCCTGAGACAGCGTCTGATGAAGAACCAACTCCCTCTGAGAGACTCTCACGCCCCAACGATCCCCAAACACAGGATTAATGTCTGCAGGCATACACATGTTCTTAACTTCAAGCTGCAGGTTCAACAGCCCCTCAACTGAGCTTCAATGCACCTCGTTAAATAAAAGCACACAAACAGCACATACCGTATGTAAGGGTCACTCTGAGTCAAGACGTGATCTACTACAGTGATAAATACTATCTCAAATATCCCCGTAAGTGTTTCAGTTGATATGGAAACACGAAAAACGGATTAAGGTAGAGGAATAGAAGAGCAGGGCACAGTCATTTAAGAGCAAATATCCCTTTACATTGTGCCATTTTGGGTTGTGTGAGACAAAAGTTCACACTCATGACAAAAATACGATCAAATCTTTGGTCAGTCCAAAGACAGTCTGCAACAAAATCTTGACAGTGTCTGAAATTTAGCCCCAATGTCTAACAATGTGACTGCTGCTACAAGCAACAGACCAACCAGAATACAACACAAAACTACACAAAATACACTGGCTGGTGGGCAAAAACGCATACAAACAAAAACAATGGAGGCGAAGTGAAGAAGGCGTCCGTGGTACTCTAGTGTCCCACAAATCATCAGTTTTTATAATTCCTCCTGAGGGGATCATTTAAGTAAATTCATTCAATAAATGATGAGTCACTTGAATTCAAAGCCACCTCATGGTGACGCCAGAGGGAAAGTCAAGGGATTGCCAAAGTCAGTAGGAGACATCCTCTGGGGACCACGATGTCTGCACAAAATGTCATGTCAACCCATCTCATGGATTCATGAGATATTTCAGTGTGGAACAAAGTGGTGGAATGAGCGACATCACCATCAAATACAGACATATGGCTTGCGGGCTAAAAGGTAGTAAGGATAAAGGTAAAGGAAAAAAGGAAAAAGCAGCACGGTCCCAGAGTAAAATACCAAGTTTTTAGGGAGTCTCAGGAGAAAGGAACATAAAGAATGACACAAACAGAAAGAGAGAAAAAGAGTAACCCACAGGAACAGAAGCAAGTGTGACAGCCTGGCTATCATCGACTGAGAGGAGAACAGGGGAGACAGACAGGAGACAGAAACTGGGAGAAAAGGAACAACTGTTATGAAAGTACATAAAAGTGAGAAAATGGGACCAAAGGTTACTTGAAACTGAGGAATACACAGAATGACACACGGATGAATAAATTATGACAGAAACAGCTGACCAGTCACCAGCTAATGGAAGGAAACTACAGACCAGCATGGAGCTGGGAGGACACTCTGGAGACTAAAGGTCAGGGGTGCATTTTACGATGAATTTGAATGGCTGTCTCTCTGGCTGGCTGAACTCATTAACTCATTGATTACAGTCACTACTACCACAATGTTAAAACAACAGTGGATACATATCCAGGACTCACT